CAGGCCATCCATGAAGTCATGGAACGGGACTGGCTCTGTACGGAGCCATCTGAGCTCACCCTGCCGCGGAACAGCCCAGGCTGGTCAGGCAGGACCTGCCTGTCACCAGCCCACGCTGGCTGGGCCTGATCCCCTGGTTGTCCTACCCGTATGACAGCACTCAGGGTCATCTGCTCCATGACCTTCCCTGGTTCTGAGGTCAGGATGACAGTCCCGGAGTTCCTCAGATCCTCCTTCTCACCCTTCTTGTAGTTGGGCATCACTTTGGCTCACTCCCAGTCCACTGGCCCTCCCCAGTTAGCCAGGACTGCTGGAAAATGATGGACAGTGGTTTGGTGAGCCCTTCCACCAACTCCCTCAGCAACCTTGAGTGGATCCATCCGGCCCCACAGACTTGTGGGTGTCTCTGTGGTGGTGCAGCAGGTCACTGACCATTTCTCCTTGGATTATGGGGGCTTCATTCCACTCCCCATCCCTGTCTTCCTGCTCAGGGGACTGGGTTCAGGTCCCAGAACAACTGGTCCTACTGCTACAGACTGAGGCAAAGGAGGCAGGAAGAACCTCAGCTCTTTCTTCAACCTTTGTCACTGTGTCCCCCACATCCAATAAAGGATGGAGAGTCTCCTCAGCCCTCCTTTGGTTGCTGATGGATTTATAGAAACATTTTTTATTGTCTGTTATGGCAGATTCAGTTCTAGTTGGGCTTTGGCCCTTCTCATATTCATCCCTGTGGTCCTTCTGACCTTCCAGCCCCTTCTTCCAAAGGTTTGAACGTCTCCTGAAAAAGGAAACACCAGCCTGAGGTGGAGTTCCAGTCAAAGCTTTCTGCTAAGCCAGGCCGGTCTTATTCCCATCCTTCATCCAAGGATGCTGCTGGATTGAGGAGCTGGGGGACTGGGGGATGCTGCTGGAGTGGGACACTGGGACACCGGGACACCGGGAGCTGCTGGTGGATTGGGGGGTCTGGGGGACTGGGGATGCTCTGGGACAGGGACACCCAGAGATCGGTGGGTGCTGCTGGTCTGGGGAGCCGGGAGCTCCCCCTCTCCGGCCCGGTGGTGGTGGTGGGACAAGTGTGGGTGGGGATGAGCGTGCCCGGGCCCTGATCCAGGGCCGCCTGCTCCCGGCAGCCGAGGAGGAGTCCGGCAGCTTCTACGTCCTGCTCACGGTCACACCCGTGGTGCTCATGGTGCTCATCTCCTGCCTCGCCGTCTTCGTCTTCTTTTACAACAAGAAGAGGTAACGACCCCTCTGCACCCCCAGGGCTGGGCCGGGGCAGGATCCGGCTGAGCCAGGGCTGGGGAAGGGCTGGGGAAGGGCTGGGGAAGGGCTGGGGAAGGGCTTGGGGGGGGGCAGCACCTCTGAGCGCTGCCCACCCCTGGCAGGAACAACGACGGGTACCCCAGTGGGACCCTCTACACCTCCGTCAACCCCGAGTACTTCAGTGCCTCAGACAGTGCGTGGGGACGGGCAGGGGTGGCTCGGGGGGGGCTGCTGAGCCCCCTCCTCGCTGGGGTCACACTGGAGGGGACAGGGATGGGGTGGGGTGGGACGGGATGGGGTGGGGTGGGATGGAGTGGGGTGGGATGGGGTGGGATGGGGTGGGGTGGGATGGGGTGGAATGGGATGTGATGGGGTGGGATGGGGTGGGGTGGGGTGGGGTGGGGTGGAATGGAGATGGAAATGGAGATGGAGATGGAGATGGAGATGGAGATGGAGATGGAGATGGGGTGGGATGGGATGGCACGGGATGGGATGGGATGGGGTGGGGTGAGATGGAGATGGAGATGGAGTTGGGATGGAGGTGGGGATGGGAATGGGATGGGATGGGATGGGATGGGATCGGAGGGGGTGGGGTGGGATGGAGATGGAGTTGGGATGGAGATGGGGATGGGAATGGGATGGGATGGCATGGGATGGGATGGGGTGGGAAGGGGTGGGGTGTGATGGAGATGGAGTTGGGATGGAGATGGGGATGGGATGGGATGGAGATGGAGATGGGGATGTGGATGGGAATGGGGATGTGGATGGGAATGGGAATGGGATGGGGATGAGGATAGGGAGCGGGACGAGGATGGTGAGGGAATGGAGATGAGGATGGTGATGGGATGGAGATGAGGATGGGGACAGATGGGAATGGGAATGGGATGGAGAGGAGAATGGTCATGGAGATGGGGATGGGGATGGACTGTGATGGTGATGGGATGGAGATGGGGATGGGGATAGGAGTGGGATGAAGGTTAGAATGGGGATGGAGGTGGGGATAGGATGGAGATGAGGATGGGAATGGAGATAAAGATGGGGCTGGAGATGGGATGAGGATGGAGAGGGAGATAGTGACAGTGATGGGGATGGGGTGGTCCCCACTCCCCCTGCAGTGTACATGCCTGATGAGTGGGAGGTGTCGCGGGAGAAGATCACAGTGATCCGGGAGCTGGGACAGGGATCCTTTGGGATGGTGTATGAGGGGCTGGCACTGGGGCTGGTCACGGAGGGAGAGGAGACCAAGGTGGCCCTGAAGACAGTCAACGAGTTGGCCACCATGCGGGAGCGCATCGAGTTCCTCAACGAGGCCTCTGTCATGAAAGCCTTCAAGTGCCACCACGTGGTAGGTGGGCAGCTGAGGGAGAGGGAGGGGACATGGGGGGGTCTGGCCACTCACATGCCACCCCTCTTTGTCCCCTCAGGTCCGTCTGCTCGGCGTCGTGTCCCAGGGCCAGCCAGCCCTGGTCATCATGGAGCTGATGACGCGCGGGGACCTGAAGAGCTACCTGCGTTCTCTCAGGCCCGAGGCCGAGGTGAGGGGCTGGCCGGGTGCCACGGCGCCCCACAGGCAAAGTAACACCCACCCTGCCCCCAGGGGGGTCCTGGTGTGCCCCCCCCCCGCCCTGAGTCTATGCACGGTGCAGAACAACCCCGGGCTGCCGCCGCCGTCGCTCAAGGACATGATCCAGATGGCGGGGGAGATCGCCGACGGCATGGCCTACCTCAACGCCAACAAGTTCGTGCACCGGGACCTGGCCGCCCGCAACTGCATGGTGTCCGAGGACTTCACTGTCAAGATTGGAGGTGGGTGGGCAGCGTTGGACAGGCTGCTGCCAGCCCCCATCTCCTGCTCCTCGCGCCTCCCTCCTCCTCCTCTCCCTCCCCTACCAGATTTCGGCATGACCCGGGACATCTACGAGACGGATTATTACCGGAAAGGGGGCAAGGGGCTGCTCCCCGTGCGCTGGATGTCCCCGGAGGCGCTCAAGGACGGCATCTTCAACACGCAGTCTGACGTCTGGTGGGTGCTGGGCTGAGGGGGAGCGCCGGGGGGGAGCTTTGGGGAGTTCCTGGAGCACCGGGGGGGAGTTTTGGGGAGTTCTTGGAGCACCGGGGGGGGGGTTTTGGGGAGTTCCTGGAGCACCGGGGGGGAGTTTTGAGGAGTTCCTGGAGCGCCAGGGTGGAGTTTTTGGGAGTTCCTGGAGCACCGGGGGGGAGTTCTGGGGAGTTCCTAGAGCGTTGGGGTGGAGTTTTGGGGAGTTCCTGGAGCACCAGGGGGGAGTTTTGAGGAGTTCCTGCCTGAGCGGCACCGTGCCGGCAGGTCCTTCGGGGTGGTGCTGTGGGAGATCGCCACGCTGGCCGAGCAGCCCTACCAGGGCATGTCCAACGAGCAGGTCCTGCGCTTTGTCATGGACAACGGCGTCCTGGAGAGGCCTGAAAACTGTCCTGACAAACTGTGAGTGAGGGGAGGACACCCCCTCGGACCCCCACCCTGCTGGTGGGGGGAAATCCCGGTCTCCCCCAGTGCTGGGAGGGCCATAGGGTGCTGGAGCCCCCCGAAACCAGCGGGTGCCCTCTCTTTCCCACAGCCACGAGCTGATGTGCCTGTGCTGGCAGCAGAACCCCCGCCAGCGCCCCTCCTTCATCCAGCTCCTGGAGCGCATCAAGGACCACATGGCGCCCGCCTTCCGCACCCTCTCCTTCTTCTACAGCCCCGAGAACGGCCACCACGGCTCAGCAGAACCCTCTGACGCCGAGACGGATCCGTCCACCGGGGAGGATGAGCCCCCCGCATCCCCCCTGCCCACACGCAAGGACCACAGCCCCGGCCAGCTCCCCAACGGGACGGCCTGACTCTGAGCCCGGGGTGTCCTCGGACCCCCCCTGCACCCCCCACGCTCCTCCAGCCACCCCCCCACTGCCGGGACACCCCACATTATTTATTGTTTCCAAGGGCCTGGCCGAGGAGCGGGTGCCTTGGGAAGGGGGTGGCAGCAAAGCAAGGATGCTCCGTGGGGGGCTTTTCCCCTGGAAATAAATTGGGGTTCCACAGATCAGGGGCAAGGAGTGGGGGGCTTCCGGCTGGGAGGAGAACACCCTGGTCCTTCCTTGGGTTTTTTTTTTTGGGGGGGTGAGGGGCATGTGGGCATGGGGATGGAGAGTGGGGCTTGGGGTTCGGGGTCCCCCACCAATCCACCTCTGCCGTCACCCTCCAGCCGCCCGTCAAACAGGTCAGTACCCCCATGACCCCTCTTTTACAGCTGGGGAAACTGGGGCAGCCCTGCAGCGGGAGAAGCCTGGGGTGGCCCTCATGCCTCTCCCCAGTCCCCTGCACTGGGACCAGTGCTGGGGCCGTGGAAGGGGCTTCACTGTCTGATCTGCGGCCGTGGGATGAGCGCAAATAAAGGGGGATGAAGCTCAGCTGCGGCGGTGTCTGATTTGGGAGGGGCGGGGGGGGCGGCACACGGGGCTTTTCATTCCCCACCCCGCCAGCCCCGTCCAATTCCTGCGGCTTTGCCCTGCGGTGCCCAAACCGGGGGCGTTTCTGGGGAAAAACGTCAAAGCAGTGGAATTTGGCAGGACGTGGCAGGCTGGTCGGCTCTGCCGGGGGCCGGGTGGGGGGGTCACCCCAGGGGAATTGAGCCCCATAAGTATCACTGGGTTGAGGAGATGCACCCGGAGCTGAGCCATGGGGGAGGAATGCAGGCTGAGAACGTTCTAAACTCAACGCACAGATGAGCCACCCCGAGGTGCTTTGGGACAAGCCCGGGGACAAGCAGCAGCCAGGTGGGGAAGGGGAACCCTGGGGGGAGGGCGGTGGGTGCACAACAGTCCTGTCCCGCCCCCCCCAGGAAGGAGGAGGAGGGTCCTGGTTGGGGATGACAGGTGGGGACGGGGCAACTGTGCCAACAAACATCCCCCCGTCTCCAGCCTCTCTGCACCCCAAAATAACGGGGCGCTGGGGAAGAGCCTAACCCAGGACAACCCAGCACGCCTCGAGATTTGGGGGCACCATCGCGGGGTGTGACAGGTTGGAGGGCTCTCGGTGGCCTCAGGGGTGCTGGTGTGACATCCCCTGTCCCTTCTGCGCAGCGAGCTCCGAGCCGGGTCCTGGAGCGAGTGTGTGTGTGTGTGTGTGAGTGTGAGTGTGAGAGTGTGTGTGTGTGTGTGTGTGTGAGTGTGTGTGTGTGATTGTGTGAGTGTGTGTGTGTGTGTGTACACACATGTGCCCGCGTGTGCTCCGGTGTGTTTAGGGGTGCCAGTGGTGGGATGGGTGCTCCTGGGTGCAGGTGCAGTGTGCCAGGGCGCACGCAGGGGCGGGCAGGGCGCAGGCAGAGCGCGGGCAGGGGGCAGGGGTCTAGGCAGGGTGCGGGCAGGGCGCAGACAGGCTCCCCGCTCGCTGTCCGTGTGCGGAATCCCCCGCTCCCGGGTCGGGGGCTTCCCGCGTGCCCGTGAGTCACGGCCGGGGGGGTCTCGGGCCGGGGCGGGGGCGGTGCCGGGGCGGGGGGAGCCGCCGGCCCCTCCCGGGAGGCCGGTCCCTGCGTTGCTTTTAAGCCCCGCACGGCCCCGTGCTCGGGTTGCCGGGCAAGTGCGAGGGAGGGCAGCACCGGTACTGGCAGCGGCGGCACCGGCAGCAGCGGCATCGGCACCGGTCCGGGACCGGCCCCGCGATGCCGCCGCTGCCCGCCTGGCTCTGCCTGGCCGCGCTGCTCCTGACCCTGCCCGCCCCGGGCGCTGCCCGCCCCTGCCCCCGGCCCTGCCACTGCCCCCGGGCCGGGACCCTGCTCTGCCGGGAGCCCAGCACCGTGGGCAGCCTGGCCCCGCTGCTGGGAACCGGCGGCTTCACCGACGTGTGAGTGGGGTCGGGGGTCGGGGTGATGGAGCTCGGGGACCGGGCAGAGGGGCTGGGGGTGAGCGGGACGGCAGCGATGGGACTGAGGGACGCGGCGGCGGGGCTGGGGCAGCGATGGAGTTGGTGGTGGCAGAGCTCGGGGATGGGTGTGATGGGGCTGCGGGTGAGGGATTTTGGGGACTGGGCGGAGGGGTTGGGGATGATGGGACTGGTGGTGATGGGGCTGAGGGATGCGGTGAGGGGGGTGAGGGACAGGGTGGTGGGGTGATGGGGATGGAGGTGATGGAGCTCGGGGACAGGGCAACGGGGCTGGGCTGGAGCAGCAATGGAGCAGGTATCACTGGATGGGCTGGGATCACGGTGGGGAGAGGGGCTGCTGGGGGGGACCCACGGGGGCTGCAAAGGGGGGGGGGGGCTGCTGCATCCCCCCAAGGAGTGAGCGAGGGTCTGGGGGCGGCCCTTTGCCCCCTCCTGTAGCGATGCCAGCCACAATGACACGCTGAGGGTGCAGCAGGGACCCCGGGCAGGGAGCACCCCTGCCGTGCCTGGCAGAGCTGGGGTGTGGGGAGCCCCTTTTCCCCAATCTGTCAGGGCTGTCACCCTGTCCTGGGGCCTGTGGGTTGGGATGCTGCGGAGACACACCCCAGATTTCCTGGGGTGGGGGATCTCCTCTGCTCCCACTCATTGTCCTGCTCCAGGATGTGTGGCGAGCAGATGAGGGCTGGAGCGAGGAGAGACGAGGAGGGTGCTGGGGGATGTGGGGGTACGGGGTGCTGCAGGATACCAAGGCACCCCAACTCCTGGGTCCTCCCCCCGCCACAGCCCTGGCTGTGCCGCATTGCTGGGGACTGGCTGCAGGGTGTCTCCGTGCCTCAGTTTCCCCACGTGCCGGGGATGCTGCGCCACGGGCGCTGCCAGCTCTTTGTTCGCTGGCTGACGGGTGGGGTGGGTGGTGGTGGGGATGGTGGTCCCCCAGAGACCCCCGGCCATCCCACTGCCCCAGCCTCCCTCGCCCCATCCCCACAACCTCGCCCGTGGCAGTAGGCAACCCCCCCCACAGGGGTCAGTGGGACCAAAACCCCATTAGTGTGGATCTGAACCCCTGATTAACTCCTGATGATTTGGGGTTCACAGGAGCAGCCCCTGGGGTGGGGCGGGGGGAAAACCCCTGTACCTGCTCCCAAAGGGGCTTTTCTTCACTGCCTGAATAGAAGGGGAAGGGGGGACAGTCGGAGACCCCGTCACAGTGCGGGACACTGCGGTGTGAGGAAAGGCAGGGACCCAGGCGTGAGTGGGGCTGAGACCTAAAAAACTCACTCTCTGGGTGACACCGTGGGCTCCAAGCGGCAGCTCAGCCCCAGCCCCACAAGGCTCACACTGGCTGGAGCTCAGCACCATCGGGATCACCTGCTACCATTCCCCCTTTCCAGCTCATCCCTGTCTGCCCAGGGGAAACTGAGGCACGGTGGGGCATCCCTGTCCTCATCTCCAGCTGTGGGCTGTACTGCAGGCACAGCCTGGGGAGGAGGGGAGCACAGCTCTCCCCTTGCCCCACGCTTTGCTGGCGGCCCCTGGCATGGGGGGCTCATGGGCTGCTCCCCTGACCCCCCTCATTTGCCTTCCAGCACCATTGAGAACCAGCCGAGGCTGACGACCTTGACCCGCGCTGACACCAGGATGCTGCGGGAGCTCAGGAGCCTGTGAGCACCCCGGGGTGGGGTCCCTGCACAGGGAAATGGGGGGGGCTGCTGGATGGGGGATCCCCAGAGCTCAATCCCACTGCAGGGAGGTGCAGGGGTGTTGCTCCCAGGATGGGGATCCAGGGACCCCCAATGTGAGTGCTCAGCCCTTCCCTCCCCTCAGCACCATCTCCAGGTCGGGGCTGCAGCACATCTCTGCCGACGCCTTCCTGGACACCCCCAGACTGAGCCACGTGTGAGTCTCCCCTCCCCTGATTCCCTCCCTCAACCGCCCCCTCCCCCGTTTTGGGGCTCGGCCCCCCCATCCCCGCGGGCTCCGGGCCCCGGTGCAGGGTGGCCGGTCCCCGCGCCCGGGCGGGATCGATGGTGTCCCGCTGCCCCTGGGCACATCAGCCTGGCCGGGGGGGCTCTGCCGCTGAGTGGGAAACCATCGATCCAGGCAGGAGTACAGGCAGCTGCCGGCCCCTCCCCGGAGTCCCGTGCTGCCGCGGTGCGGGAGAGGACCCCCGAGAGCTGGGGGGGGACCCTGTTCTGGGGTGCGTGGGGCTCCCCCCTTGCAGGGAGGCACCTGAAGGCTGGTGGCACCCCCGGCAGAGCTGGATTTGCTGGGTCACGGTGCGACAGCGGCGGCCCTGGTGCTGCCCAGTGCCCCAGCCAGACTCTCTGCAGGGTGGGGTGACATGGGATGGGGTTTTGGGGTGGGAAGGGGTGGCTGATGGGGTTTGTTTCCTACAGGAATCTCTCTTCCAATGTGCTGCAGAGCCTTTCCTGGAAAACCTTCCACCATCTGCCCCTGCAAGAGCTGTGAGTGATGGGGGACAGGGGGGAAGTGGATACGGAGCATCTCCCACTGGGGATGTCCCCCCAGGGTGGCACATAGGCTGGGACAGGGGTGGGGACACAGTGTGATGGTGGGTCTGACAGCCACAGGCACGGGGATGGGGACGGGGATGGGGACAGGGATGGCACATGTGGCACAACGCCTGGCCCTGGGTGCATTCAGGGGCACCAGCCACGCTTGGGGGCTGGGGGTGCCCCCATCCAGCCTTGGTTGGTTCCACTGGGACATACACAAGTGTGGGGGACCTGGAGCCCTTTTGAACCCATTTTCTCTTCCTTGCTCCATCTCAGCATCCTGGTGGGAAATCCCTTCAACTGCTCCTGCGGCCTGCGCTGGCTGCAGCTGTGGCAGAACGGGAGCCGGGCCGAGCTGGGGAACCAGTCCCTGGGCTGCTGGGAGGGCAATGGGCTGGTGCCCCTGGGCAGCCAGATCCTCAGTGCCTGCGGTACGTGGCCGGGCACCACGCCGGGTTTGGGGCGTGGGCTTGTCCCCCCTCCTAAGCCACTTGGCTGGGGACAGTGTGGGATGTGGGGGTCCCCGTGGCTCACCCCTTTTCCCCCGGCAGACCCCCCGACTGTCCGCATCGAGCCCCCCGAGGTGATGCTGCGTCAAGGGGACAGCGTCAACCTCACCTGCCGCGTCACCGCCGAGCCACCGGCCACCGTAAAGTGGGTGGTCCCCGAGGTGGGACCCGAGCCACCCGTCACCACCAAGGCAAGCTCAGCCTTACTGGGGCACGGACAGGAACCCTCCCAGCAGCACTGTGCCCCCACGGCATCCCCTCGCTGGTGGGGTGGGCATGGGGGAATGCAGGAGCTGGCCCAGCTCTGGGGGGGTTGTTTGCTCACCCCATCCCGGTGCTCCCCGCAGCTCTCGGACTGGGAGACCGTCCTGGAGATCAGCAACGTCTCCTCCAGCCTCAACTACAAGGACTTGACGTGCCGGGCAGAGAACGCCGTGGGGCCGGCGGAGGACAGCGTGATGCTCAATGTCACCTGTGAGCAGCCCAGAGGGGACCGGCTGGGGGTCTCCGGGCGAGGGGTCTGACTCAGAGACCCACCCAGCTCTGTCTCCTCCAGTCCCCCCTGTGATCCTGCTCCTGCACGAAGCCATCCCCCAGCACTTCTGGTGCATCCCCTTCTCGGTGGATAGCAACCCCATCCCCAGCATCCGCTGGCTCTTCAATGGCACGGCCCTGTTGGAGGGGCGCTACATCCACACCCGCATCGTGGAGTACGAGCACAACTCCACCGTCCTGCACGGCTGCCTCGACCTCAACCGTCCCACCCACGTCAACAACGGCAACTACACCCTCCTGGTGCACAACCCCCTGGGCTCGGCCGCCCACAGCGTCCAGGTGCGCTTCATGGACAACCCCTTCAGCTTCAGCCCCGAGGAGCCCATCCCCGGTAGGTGCCAGGCAGGGGGGGCTGCCTGGGGGTCTCCCAGAGGAGATGTGTCACACCTGGTGTGCAGAACGGGTGGAACTGGGCTCTGCCCGCTGTCCCTGCACAAGCCCCAGTGGTGGGAAGGGGAGGGACAGGGCGCTCCCCCCTGAGGAATAACGAGTGTTTCTCCTTTCTCTCCCTTTGGGCTGCACCAGTGTCTCTGTCCCCGCTGGGTGAGTGAACCAGGAGCGCTGCTGCCCCTGCCCCAGCCCCACCAAACTGTGCATTCCACCCGTCCCCCAGGGCTGATCCCGGGGTACCCAGGGGTACCCAGGTCCTTGCCAGGACCACCTCAGGGGATGGGGACCCCCCACTCACCCTGCACCCTTCTCCCTGCCCCAGGCACCAGGAACAGCTCGCTGGAGGGGCCCGTGGAGACGACGGATGACCACACGTTTGGGGTGAGGGGATGCTCTGCGGTCTGGGATGGGGGGACCAGGACACCCGCAAGAGGGTGGGACACATCCCTAGGGGTCAGCCAAGAGGGATGGGGGCATGTGATGGGGATGAAGGACAGAGTCCCCGTGCCTCGGTTTCCCCCACGGCAGCTCCTGGTGCTTGTGGCCAACTCAGGCCCCCACAGGCTGGGAAAAGGAACCTGGCAGGACCCCGCCCTGAGCCCTGTCCCCGCTGTCCCCAGGTCTCGGTGGCTGTGGCCCTGGCCGTGTTCACCTGCCTTTCGCTCTCTGTCATGCTCATCCTGCTCAACAAGTGCGGGCGCCGCTCCAAGTTCGGCATTAACCGTGAGTTCCCCCTGCCCGGTGACGCGGGATTTGGGCCGTGGCAGGGGGACACCCCGGTCCCCACATCCCCGGGGCAGCGCTGGGCACCTGGGCTGGGACAGGGCTGTGGGAAGAGGGACCGTGGGTGGGGACTGAGGGCGGGGGGACACCCGCACAGGGGTGCTGGCTCCCCTGGGAGCGCGGGCAGCAGCTGCTAATTCACTCCTGGAATGGATTCAGCCTCTAAATGGGTTTGATCGGGCTGCCTGGCCCCCGGGGGCCGGCCAGGCAGGGGGATGCTCGGCAGAGCCTGGCACAGGCTGCACCGGCTGGGGGGGGCTGGGGGACCCCCTGATGGCCTTGTCCTTGTCCCCACAAGGTTCAGCGGTGCTGGCCCGAGAGGACGACCTGGCCATGTCCCTGCACTTCATGAACCTGGGCAGCAGCCCCCTCTCCTCAGCCGAAAGCAAGCTGGAGGGGCTGAAGAGCAACTTCATCGAGAACCCCCAGTATTTCTGCAACACCTGTAAGGGTTGGGGGGGGTAAATGTGGTCCCCGAGCACCCTCCCATGCTCACCCCTGACCCGGGGGGCACTGATGGGTGAGGGTCCCCCCAGGCGTGCACCACGTGCAGCGGCGGGACATCGTGCTGAAGTGGGAGCTGGGCGAAGGCGCCTTCGGGAAGGTTTTCTTGGCCGAGTGCTACAACCTCCTCCCGGAGCAGGAGAAGATGCTGGTGGCTGTGAAGGTGAGGAGGGGGGACGAGGCAGGGCCTGGGGGGGTGGTCTGTGGGGGGGTGTCACCGATGCCGTGTGCTGGCAGGCGCTGAAGGAGGTGACGGAAAGCGCCCGCCTGGATTTCCAACGCGAAGCCGAGCTGCTGACGGTGCTGCAGCACGAACACATCGTCAAGTTTTACGGTGTCTGCACCGAGGGCGAGCCCCTCATCATGGTCTTCGAGTACATGAAACACGGCGACCTCAACCGCTTCCTCAGGTGGGCACGGGGGGGGGAGAACGGGACCCCCCCCATCTGCTGCTCCATCAGCGCAGCCAGCCTGCTCCCTGCTAATGCAGCCCTCCTTGCAATATTGATTAGATTAGCTGTCTGAGAGGCTTAAATAGAGAGAGATTGGCCATCAGCTGGAATAAGCAGAGACTTTTCGATTGCCCCCCCAGGTATTGCTGCTAGACGGGGGGGGCTGCCAGAGGCATCGCTTTAGTGGCCGCGCGAGGAGCTCTGAGACGTGGCTTTTATGATTATTGTTATGGGATTTGGCATTAATGGTTCTGCCGAGCAGAGCTCCCCCAGCCCCCGGCCGCGGCCGCCCCGGCCCTGCTGTCAGTCGTGCTCGGCATCAAAGGCACCGAGGGGCTGGAGGCGGCCGGAGCCGCGCTGGCCCCCGGCCCACCCCGCGCGCCCCACTTCACACGCGCTGCTGCACTTTCACACCCCGCCTGCACCGCCCTGCACGGCCTGACACGCAGCCTCCCGCCGTGGGACAGCCCACGTGTGTGCATGTGTGTGTGTGTGTGTGTGCTCTGCCCGTGTGTGTGTGTGTGTGTGCCCTGCCCGTGTGTGTGCATGTGTGTGTGTGCCCTGCCCATGTGTGTGCATGTGTGTGCGTGTGTG